AAACGAACTTAAAAATACTAATCTCAAGTCTAAATTTTCAACTGTTTCATAATGACATGGTCAAATATTACAATAAACTTTACATATCATAGAATATCAGTATAATCTAATGATGTATCTCTCATTTATAAATATTTTACTACATGACAATAACTAACTAGGTGGGCTAGATAATAATTTTAAAAGATCCAAAAATCCAATGAATAAACATTGGATAAGTCCATAGTAACCTTTCTCTGTCCTCCTTGAAAGAAACATTATTCTTTATCATATACTGATCATTAATGCAGATGTTTTATTGTAATGTACTGATTGGTTTATTTTTTTTTTGCTAACATAGAAAGAAGAAACACGCAACAAATATTCCTCCTTACCACCTACTTACTTGTTTTTAACATATTTATCGAAAAATCATCTGTTTTGACAGATAAACATTGAATTTTATTTTTTCAAATGCACAAAATGTATACACAATTCAAAATTTTATTAATCATTTGTTTTTTACAATTAATTCCAGTGTCACATACACTCTATTTTCATATAAGTGAAACTGAACGAAAATGTTTTATTGAAGAAATGCCTGATGATACATTAGTTATTGGCAAATATAAAGTTGAATTATTTGATGAAAAAACAAATGGATATCTTCCATCAACACCTGGAATTGGTATGCATGTTGAAGTAAAAGATCCCGATGATAAAATTGTTCTATCAAAATTATATACCAATGAAGGACGATTTACATTTACTTCACATACACCTGGTGAACATGTTATCTGCTTATATTCAAATTCAACTGCTTGGTTTGGTGGACAAAAATTAGTAAAGAATTTAATACACAAAATCATTTAAATAAGATTTGTTTTTTTTTTCAAATAGCGTGTTCATCTTGATATTGATATTGGTGAACATGCAATAGATTATGAACGTGTTGGTGCACAGGAAAAACTTACTGAACTTCAATTACGTGTTCGACAATTATTGGATCAAGTTGAACAAATGTATGTTATGTTTTTTCTTCATCTATTTATAGAGTATGACTCATTTTCGATAAATATCCGATCCTCCATACAGGATAAGTTAATAGTCACATGTCAAAAACAACTAATATTCTTTGTTTATTATTATTATTATATATTTCTTTGATTATTTCAGAACCAAAGAACAAAATTATCAACGTTATCGTGAAGAACGTTTTCGTGCTACAAGTGAATCAACAAATTCACGTGTTTTATGGTGGTCACTTGCGCAATTAATTGTTCTAGTCATAGCTGGATTTTGGCAAATGCGTCATTTAAAAGGATTTTTTGAAGCAAAAAAACTCGTTTAATCCTTTTAATTTTATTTATTTATTTATCTGATCTGTTTTGTTTTTTTTTCTATCTCAAATAATTATAAGCATTTAATTTTTTTTTCTCTCTCGCGTTTTGTCAAAGTATTTCATGATACAATTTTAGATTATATATCTGGATAAAATAATAGAAAAGCCGTTTATATTCGATGCTTGCTCGCGGTGTAAGAAATGTTATTTATAATTATACCGATGCTCAACGCAAAGTTCGATCGGCAACATCGAATGATGCATGGGGTCCATCACCAGCACTTATGCATGAAATAGCTGATCTAACTGATAATGTTGTTGCTTATGCTGAGATTATGCCAAGTAAATAAAAACTTTTTTTTTGTTAATTTACAACTAAATACTTTATATTCGAATTTAGTTATATGGAAACGTTTAAATGATCA